GGGCATACCTGAGAGACATCATTTTTGCTTATTTGAACTTGAATGAATCCACTTTTAGTCTGGAATTTTAGACAGGAAGACAAATGCCATTAATCCATATTTTGAGGCTGAAGGACCCACTCTTTTGAATAGGATAGAAATGGAAGGCCACATTTTCTGCTAGAAGACTATATGAAGACATGGAAAGAGGAATCATTTTGCTCACTGCCCATTTGTTGCCTCGTTTTCTTGCTAGCACATCCATTCCTTCACTGGCATTGGAACCTACTTTGGGATTCCAGCATATACTGAAAACAAGCCAAGACACTCAACATGTGGACAAGTAATACTGGATTTTTAAACTTTCTGTTACAGCCAGACATTGTTGGATTACCTTGACAGCAGCCTCTAAATCATTCGCAGAAATTCTCATTACATATATAACACTAGAGAATCCTGACGAATACACTGGTAGACAGAATTTCACAAAAAACTCCCTGGTCTTCTGCCTCCTTTAATCATTATAGGCCCTGTTCGGGTGTGTTTTAAAGATGCATCCAGTCGGCCTGGGATCCACAAATCTGCATTTTGTTTAGTTGTGGATTTTTGTGGTGGTCTTTGTTGAAAACAGAAGCTTCCTTGATGAGGGTCAAATTTTACCTTACCTATGTGTACAAAGAAATGTTTAGTTGGCTTGGGCGCGGGGGGTTGGGGGGGGGACGCGGAGCGATGGGCCGCGCCGGCCGCCGGGGTGGATAAGAACCCCCCGTCGCGCCGCGGCGGTGGGCCGGAGGGCGGAGACGGTGCCCGAGCGCCACGGGAATATGACGGGGCTGTACGAGCTGGTGTGGCGGGTGCTGCACGCGCTGCTCTGCCTGCACCGCACGCTGGCCTCCTGGCTCCGCGTTCGCTTTGGCACCTTCGGCCGCGCCGCCTCCGCCGCGGTCCTAGCGCCGCTCGGCTTCACGCTCCGCAAGCCCCCGGCCGGCGGCAGGCACCGGCGTCCTCCCCGGCACCCTCGCGGGCCCGCCGGGCCGGCCGCCACCCACCCCCGGCTGCGCTGGCGCGCGGACGGCCGGTCCCTGCACAAGCTGCCGGTGCACATGGGCCTGGTGGTCACCGAGGAGGAGCAGGAGCCCAGCTTCTCGGACATCGCGAGCCTCGTGGTGTGGTGCATGGCGGTGGGGATCTCCTACATTAGCGTCTACGACCACCAAGGTGAGGACGGGTCCCCCGGGGGGGAAGGGGAAGTGGGGGGTGGCAGGGACGCTTTCCGAGTCCCAGGACTACATGTCTGATTGACTGGTTGGCTCCCGGTCGCCTTGCGAGGGCGCCGCCCTCCAGGCCCTGCGAGTTTAGGTGGCTCTGGGCCCTCAAGTCTCAATCACAGGGCCGGCGCTTTCGAGGAAGGGAGATGAGTTTTATTGAACGTTGACCAAGTCTTTGGATTTGGTTGTGTATTTTTTAACACTTAAAAAAATACTTACTATATTCCGTTGAGGTAGATGGTATCTATTTGGCTTTGCTTCACGAAAGAGGGAGCCGACATTCAAACATTCAAAACCATAAACTGATTTGCCCAAGGTCACCAAAGTAGTAATGGGGAAATCATTGTAACCAGTCTGTGCGTTCTTCAAAGTGTCTCTTGATTCAGGGTTCAGTGCATTCATCTTAAGTACAACGGGGCAGTGGAGGACTTATACATGAGCTGTATCGTAGGTTTTCCAGATGAGCTAGCTCTTGGAGTTAGATGGCATTTGAATTGAGTTTTTGAAAAGCATGATTTAGATAGGCCCGGAACACGACGCTGCTCCGCTCTCTCAAAGCCTGTGATCATTTATCCTCAGTGGCCTGCAGTTGTCTTCTGTAAGTTCTGATCGAGGCAAGGAATTTCACCATAGCCCTGTTAAGTACAAAATTCAACACTTCAGTTCATGGCAGCAAGTCTAAAGCACTCTGCCAGATGTATTCCTCGGAACCTTGCCTTCCTCTTGTGTGCTCTCAGGCCGGCGGCGGCGAGAAAGGCACACACTAGGTGATGGATGACGTTTGGGGAGTCGAGTTACTGCTAGAAAGGAGAGAAATTCTGAACAGAGGAACTTGAGAGTTGGTGGAGAGGAGATGAAACTTGAGCAGGGCATTGAAGAATAGGGGGAGAGAGTGAGTGGAGGCTCCCAAATGTCAGGCTTGAGTTGCAGTCCATCCTTAAGTGCAGTGGTATTTCCTTGAGGATGTGGTGATAAGGATGAGTTAGGAGGGTTGATATTCAGGAAAGAAAAACGACTGTTTTATTCATGGTTCAATAAATTGCCTGCGTGCTCCAGAGAAGCCCCTTGAGTTTTACCTTTAAGTCTCTATCAGCTAGATATTTAAGTGCAGGGTTTGGCTAGGGTAAGTGGTAATCACTGACTGCTTTATCATCGTTCTCCTAGCTGCTACCAAGGAGTTTTGTTCCATGGGAGCCTGCCACCTGAGATGATGATGTGCCCTATAGGGTAAAGCTTAATATATCCAGAGACTGACAGTACAGAGACCAGCAGAAGTCAGGAGACTGTTAGGTCACACAGTCCTTGCCTAAACCAGTGCAGTCAGTAGTGTGGGATATAATTTGGCAATAATAAAAATGGAAATTAGAGCCGTTAAGTAATGTGCGTTGACTTATATCCGGTAGGAAGGGAAGGCTATGCCAAGTGGTTGGACATGACTGCGTCCAAGCAGAGATTACACTGCCCTCACACTTCCTTGTTCCTGCAATTCCTGTTAGTGCGTTTCTGATGTGACTCAGGTCCTGGGTCATATGCTCTCAGACGGAAAATGGTTGGCAATGAGAAGAAGTCAACTGAACCAAGTTTTGACGAGAACCGAGCAGAGATGGAAGGAACGATTTCACTGAATGGGCTTCAAGGGTTCTGTGTGCTCCTATAAAAGCATTTTTAAGCGATAATTTCATAGTTTGAATAAGAGGTCTTCAGTTTACTTATCTGGCTTTTGACTGATTCAGTCATTCAGCAAGCCATAGTTGGGTATATATAATTACCATGCCTTTCCAGGCATGAGCATGCAGGAGTAAATGAAAACAAAACCTGAGATTTTAGTGAAAGTCTGGCATCCTCTGTTAATGTGTTAGAAAATAGATAGTTTTAGAAGCATAATAAGGAAAAATAAGACAGGGCAGAGGAGAGGGTGGCTGAAAGGCAATGATGAAAGAAGAGAGAGTTTTAAATTGGGTGACCAAGTTTGACCATGTCAAACTTTTGCATAGATAAAGATATTTAAACTTCACTCTCTTTCCTCCAGTATGCTTCTATTTAAGCTTGTTTCTGTATACTTAGAAAAATTTATGTGTATTGACATATACATAAATGCTACATTCACTGATACCTGCCTTGCTGTAGAGGTCTGAAAATGAAGAAGTAAGTGTAAGAAGTGGTATAACATTCAAGGAGAGATGCCTGCTGTACATAATGCAGGCTGACAAATAAATCACAAATGACAGCTGAGTGTGAAAGACTTCAGGGAGAGAAAGGGGGACATTCCCTTAGACACGCTGTTCCCACCATGGGGCTCTGGGAAGAGGGAAAATGACATTTGCATTGGAACTAGCAAAAGCAGATAGGACTCGAGCACTCTCCTGCCCCTGTGTGTGAGCTGGAAATGCCACCTCTTTGGTAAGCTTTTGATAAGATTTCGCTTAAACAGTAGCATTGGCTGGAGTCTTGGGAACAGTGAACGGAACAGGTAAGTTTCCCGAGCAGAATGTTGGAGAAGGTAAGCTGAATGCTTAGGCAGCTGTTTTGCTTATGTGGTTTTGTGGAACTCCGTCCCAGAGTACGGTGTTTTAAAATAGTTATGTGTCCACTCAGTTGAGTTGTGCCGTTTCCTTGGGGTCACTTACGCGGCTTGCAGTCAGGTAACTGGCAGGGTCGCAAAGGCTGTCCTTGTGTGTCACCTGTTGGTGTAATGGCTGGATAGAGAGGAGATGGTTGTCTGTCGGCTTATGGATCCCACATGGCTACCCTGGGCTTCCTTATTTAATCGAGGCCTCAGAATTATCAGAGTGCCTCCAGATCAGGTGTTCCCAGAGGCACACCAAAGCGGCAAGGCTTTAGGGCCTGGCTTAAGCAATCAGTCACACATCTGTCTTGAGTGAAGGAAGTGGATTTGACCTCTCCTCGGTGGGGAAAATGGCCTGTGCCTCAAGATAGAGCGGAGGGGAGTTGATAGCAGCCACCTTGGAGACAAGCTTATTGATTTAATTTCCCCCTCTTCTACATGTCTTCAACCTCAAGTCTGTGTTTGATAACATTCATTCTGATCATGATGGGTTTTAGATGGTTGTTAGTCCTTGGACTAAAATACCCGTAGATATTTACATACTTTGAAGTGTCTTTTCCTGTGAACTGATGGTCTTGCTTGCTTGCTTTTGTAGAGAGAGGCAGGATCTTGGTAGGCTGGCCTTCAACTTAAGGTTCTCTTGTCTCAGTTTCTCTAGTGCTGGGGTTACAGGCAGGCTTGTGTCCAAACCTGGCTTGTTTTGATTTGATTTGATTTTAGTTTTAATATAATGAGCTCTTCCTTTGCTGCCCAAATCTGTGGACTTAGATGATTGGGTGTTAGCTTCCCTAAGGCTGGGACTGTAGGTTCACCCCATAGCCACAACAAAACACATTTCGAAGATGCTTTATATATATTAATTTTTGGTGGTTCTGGGGATCAAACTCTGGGCCTTTGGCAAGTTGAGCACTGTAGCACTGAGCTACTCAGTTAAGCCCTTGTACTTTTTTATTATACTTGTAAACTTTTTTTGATTATGATTAATTTCTGCTGTATTCATTTATTGGTAATTGAAGTTTTCTTTGATTATTCAGGAATTTTTCAGCTCACAGTTCTCATAAGGAGAATTGACTTTTGTCTACATGGTTATGATTTAGGAAATGATTATGATAGGGATTGTGTTAAAAACTGTTTCTTAATGTATTTGGTGTATCAGTCTTGGGGCTGTTATGCTTTCTTGTGTACACTTGAAGTACACAGTGCTCCACATTGTCTGGATGGGTACTGTTCTCATTGCGCAATTGTGTTGGTACCATGCTTATTGTGGGGTTGTTGGGAAAAGCTTGAGAAGGAGTCCTTGGAATGTTTATAGGAAATACTGATTCATCACACTTACTGATCAGCTGAATTAAGGTAGTCCAACCTGGGCATCTCTATTTTTATCAAGCCACTTGTATGGCACTTCTGCACACTGGAGTTTGACCTTAACATAGAGCAAAACCTTCTCTGGCACTTGCCTTATGTAAGATTAATCATGGGCTGGAGCTGAGTGGATATAGTACTGAGGTTCTACATACACACACACACACACACACACACACACACACACACACACACACACACATGCACGCACTTCATCTTTCCCATTGTTCATGTGTAATGATAATTTGGCGGTAGTTTTTTTTTTATTATAAATTGAAATGAGTCAGCAAGATATTTTCTGTATGACATCCAGTGACCAGACATCAAAAATACTTTCTTTCTGCTTCTATCCCTTTACTTGTAAATCTGTTCTGTGCAGTAGTTTTGGGGTAATGATTTCTCACACTAGCCCTAATGGGATGTGCCATTCCAGCCTTCTCAGCCTACTTCTCATAGTGTCTGTACTTTTTATCACACCATGTTTAGGTTTCTTTCTGTTACCTCTTTTTCTCTTTTTTGAGAGCCTGGAGTGCTCACTTTCTTCTTCTGTTTTTGGTTTTTCTTTTTTTTTTTTTTTTTTTTTTTTTTTTTTTTTTTTTTTT